GCTAAGATTGTCTACACGCGCTCATTTTAAATCAGAAAGAAGATGGTGGCAATGGCAATTGAAACATGGACATTCTCAACGTTTGGAAAGACCCTTGAAAAAGTTATGTCTTATAGTAATGGTGATAAAGCCTATCAACTCAGGAATGCCCTACAAGCCCATCTAAGTATTTAAATTCTAATTTTGTTTTCTGTTGTGAAATAAAATGCTTTTTAATACTTGTTAAGGATAGTGATTGGGTGTTTTACATTTGAATGCGGGCTTAAGATAGCTTGGATTCTCATCAATTTACATGGTGCCTTTTTGCTAACTAAAAAACTGGAGTCGAGAGAAAAGGGAATAAAATATTTTTATTATAGGGGTGCTTCACCCACCACCCATTATGTTAAGCTTGGACAGAAACTCAGGAGAGGCCAATGGTATAAACACAGGCTCATTGCTTTTAGATATTTGGTGGCTCCTAAAGGAGCCGTTTTTGTTGGTTGAGTCAAATTGACCCAGGGTTACTCAGACCTTGGACTGAGCAGAGCAGCTAGTAGGACTTGTTTCCTTGTTCTTGCATTGATGTGCCTGCCAGTTGTCTCATTGACTAAAACAAGAAGTTCAGTAGTCTTCACCTTTTTCAGCGCACTTAGGTTGAGTGGTTGAGGTTCAGCAATGAAACTTGATGTTTGAGGTATGGTTGAAATCCTTACAACCTTTTTTGCTTCTCAACACCTGAAAACTAAGAATAACAGGGATCTGTATTAGTTTTTCCTCTGCGGAATGAAATATTTGTTGAATTTTTTCCTACAATCTTTATCCTATAATCGATGTTATAAACTACATGAAGACTTTGTCATCTCAATCAACAAGCAATAAGTTTGTTATACTTTGTCTGCTAAATTGCTTCAGACTTCCGTGCTTTCGTAGCATACATGGCACATGATATGTTAATATATGCATGTATGGTATTACTATGATGGTTTGCATATATCCTTGACCACTTCCAGACATTTGGACCATCTGCTTACCCCAGCGGAGTGCCTAGATCAAAACAAAGCAATCAGAGGTGTTTGCTATCTGTTTTTCTCTTTATACAAGCAAATGTTTATATGTGTATAGTTAAAGCTTTTCATAACCTTGCTCAAGATTACTTTACTAATTCTCTTCAACATCACATTTCTGTATGTTCATTGTGGTAAAGTGTTTGAAACCAGTTATCTACCCCAAATACAAGACAACTGTTGAAACCCCACCAAAATATCAGAGAGTACTTCTTACCTTTTCTTCAAATTTCTTTGCACCATCATTCACATGAAAAGTCTCGCGGGTCATGTCATCAAGAAGCTCCCTGAAATTCTGTTGAATGAGTGAAAACACAATAGAGTTACTTTTCAGAGATTATAGAACAGTTTGTTTTAAATATAAAATGAGCAAATAATTATGAAATGTATTTCAAACAATGTGGTAATAGGATATCTCTGAAATTCTGTTTAAACAAAAAAGTGGTTGTGAATTACTTCCTGAGATTATTGGATAACAAGTCAAATGATTTTTTAAGTTTTATATGTTATATGAATCATTATCTTTGCAATTTTTCAATTGATTTATTTGAGGTAATACTTACAATCCAAAGACTCTGTCTTTTCAACTTTGGATTGGGGAAGAAACTTCTCAAACAGTTTTCACTGGTAATTTCTGAAGTGGAAGTCTCTTCTCAACCCCCCCCCCCCAGTAGTGATGTCCACTCTATCTTGTCTCCAACTTTGTACACATTGAAAGAGACCCCCAGTGACCACACTGTAGACAGAAACATGTCCAGGTGAACTGTAGACTTTTGTTGGCTGGATTGGCTGTCACCCTAACAGAAAATAATATTTCAAACCATATAGTAACTGCTTCTTCTTCTCAGTTTTATTATATGACAAACAATGGAAAAATCACAATTCCCCCTGTCCAGGCCTCATGCTTGGTCAATAATCTAGTAGTAATATTATTTTATTTCTTCACTAACATTTTATCCTAACAACGCCTACCTCATTCCATTTTAGAATGTCCATGATTAAGCCCTCCTCAAAACAGTTGGTAACCCTGGGTATCAGGTGCAGTTCATCAATTAAGATGTTTTTTAGTTGAATATTGAATAGGGGCTGAGAGTGGTATCCTGGTTGTTGTGCCAGTCCTGGTTGATACTCCTGGCCAGTTCAGGTTTTTGAAAATGAGACAAGGAGTGCGCCATGTTACATCTAGAAACAAATTGATGAAGTAAGATCTATGATTGTGCGCCTTCAATGTATTTAGGAGTCATTAGATAATTAAACAATCATTGGACAAGGTTTTTGTGATATCCAGAATGCTCCATTCTTGACTGCCAAGGTGACTGATGGACACCCTCAAAAAAATTGTCAAGCAACAGTTTTTCACATTGTTGAAGAGCTTCTTGTAAGCCAGAGTCTAACAACAAAAGAATAAAAGTAGAATCTGAATAAAACTGGATTCAAACATGTAGTGCAAGCCAAAGTAATTTACTCTACATGTACAGTTACTATATTTGAGATACTAAATAAAAAAAACCCTGGTTCAACAAACATGAGAGAGTTGCAAAAGATTGCTTTAGTGGGTACTGCATCTACCCTAAGGAGCAAGTTGACCATGGTTTGGCCTCAGCCCTATAGGAGACTTACCAAACACATATCAGGATAAAATAGTAGTAATGATGTTAATGTACGTAAAAAATGATTTTAAAAAATCGATATCCATTTTGAGCTACCTGAGATTCTGGTAGAAGAAATGTCAGCATCATGGGAGCTTATCTCGTCATCGCTGCCGCAGTCAGGGTGAAACATTTGTTGTGTGCACTTTTGACAGAGAAAACATGTGGTACCTCTAATCATTAATGAATTTACTCCAAAAACAGCAATAACTATTAATACTAGGAAGAGGAAGAAACATTCTGGTGAATTATCAAACATTTTAAGCCAGGGTAAACTTACCAGGTTGAAAGTCGGAGTTAGAGCTAAAGCTGGCTGACGACGTATTAGCTACAGATGATAAGCACTTGCAAAGCGAGGTCTGTATGAATATTTAGATTTTTGCGCCCAGATATCGGGTCTTGAACGGTTTTGGTTACAGTAACCTTCTTTGGTTTTTTCAGTTTTTCTGTCAGCCATCAACAATCTTTCAGTGCCTATTTTAATTCTTTTTTAGCTTGATCAAGAACCAGCCATTTTGAAATCCTTTCAAAACACTCATAATACCTTTGGAGTAAGTCAATCTAAGGTTCATGATATCAGCAAATTAATGACCAGATGACATTTCAGAAATATCCTGAATTTAGGCCAGAGAACATGTTGGTCAAACTGTGATTAAGTCAGCAGCACAGGAAGGCCTGGCACACTACAAACTTTGCTTTCTCAAAGCAAACAAGCAATAGGTTGCAAAACCCATAACTGAAAAGAAATCATACGAATATCTGAAAGAGTTGCTTGCTCAGGTTGTTCAACAATGTGAAGAGGGAAATAGAATTGCCCAGGAAATACCTGTTCTATTATTAAGGAATATAGCCTCAGAGCCAACACCTCCGAAGGCAGTCATCACTGATTTAACAGATAAATTAAAAACCACTAGGAATATGTTTGTTTTCTGATTTAGCTCAAAGGGATTCTCAGGGATGCTAAAATTTTCCATTAAAACTCTT